TTTTTTAGCAAAGTACAGATTACCATTTATATATCGGAAGGCCAAGGTCGGAGCTGGTGGTATTCCTGGGAATACCGCTTGTAACGGTTGATACGAGCGAACACTCATACTACATTCGTCTATCTGCGTCACGTCGTTACTATTGAAGATCGCGTAGGTTTGTCCTCTGTTAGTATTTACTACGGTATCGATCAAAGCGTTCGGGGGAAATCCTAGACTCGAGAGACGTTTTGGCCAACCTTCTTTCAATTTGAAACTGGGATACTCGATCATGTAAACTATTTTTACAAATTATTATTTACAAACAGTACTAGTTCACCCGAAGGCCTTTGATACGCGGCTGATAAGGAGAAATTCTCCGGAAGGAAATCCATGTAGCTGTTTAGTATGTGCGGTCCGTCATATTTTGTATCATCTATCTTTATCGACCATACGTAGCGTTGGTACGTGACGAATATTCGATGATGCAATACCAATACCGTATCCACATATTGTAAAGTACAGAGATCTACGTACTCTGGTTTATTTGTAGTAATTTCGGTAGTTGGTGTTGTTGTTGTTGACATCGGTGGTTGTGTAGTTGTTAGTTTTGGATTTTTAATTCCATTGAGTTGTTGAATGGCTAAAATGTCCTCTATGTTGAGTTCAACGATTTTATCCTTATTATTAGCAGTAACATATGCGAACATTATGGAGTCTTCACGCGAACTGTGTGATAATCCTAATGCGTGTCCAATTTCATGTGTTAACGTATTAAGCAGTTAATCCTTGTTTCTAGCAGATTTTTCGGTTAGATATATGCCACGGTTCTGTAGCGTGTATTTCAGCGGTGTAATTGACAACATTTGAAGGATAGAACGCGTGAGCGAGTACTCCATCAGATCCATCGAACGAGGAGAAGCAAATAAATTCGCTGCGTTTACGATCAGCGTACGTGTGTGTGCCACTACGATAAGATATTAAGATATCGGGATTTAACGTTTTATGTTGGAACGTTAAAGACGAATTCGCTGCCCATAGCGAGAACACGAATGCGGTAGTTTTCAAGATGTGCACGTCCGCTAAATGGAAGTTCCACATGAGATGTGTTTTTGCTCATTTCTTCCTACCTGTATTATGCTCGTGATGCAAAATGTCCGGGAGATCACATCGTGGTTTATGCATTTGATATAGTTATTCAATGTACCATCACCCGGTATTTGATAATATTTTTGAAATAACGAAATCGCCTGTTTAAGTTCTTCTTCTTCGAACGATAATTGTGTATTGTTTTTACTCTTACGCAAGTAGTAGTACTCTTGTAGATACAGAATTGTTTCAGTATCTATGCCTTGATGATTCGTCGCTGTCGTAGTTAGCGTAACGAAGACGACGATGACGATGACGATGACGAACGCGGGGGACATCGCGATGTAGCACAAGTATACGACACGCAGCAGGAAAATAAAAACGATGTGTACTCGAACGCTTTGTCAGCAGTAATGAATCGCGTTCCGTGATTTTTTTATATATACGACACGACAAAATGCTTCGTCAATAGTAATGAATCACGTCTCGTACTCTTTCATGTGTTTGTTTTCACATTATAATACGACAGCGTGTGATTTTTTGATAAAGAAGGAGAGTGCTTGAAAAAAATATTATACGATTTTGCGAATAACATTAGTCAATGGATTATACTCTATCATCCTGTCGTGAATAATAAGACAATAAGCTGTGGTGTTCAGTGGAATATTTTCCTTGCACTCGAATTCTATACGAATATCCACAGTAGCGCTTTTTATCGATTCGTTTTGACGAGAACAATCGATCACTACGAATGGGCCATGAAAAGAAATTCCCCGATAGATAACATGGCATCGCGATTGTCGTTACCGTAGTACATCTTTTGAAATTTTACATACATATCGTAGAGTATAGCATATTTCTTGCGTTCGAAATCTAAATTCATATCGTCGTAAGGATAAAAATCAGAATTTAAAAAATGTTTCACATTAGTGAGATTACACGTGTCGAATTGCGAAACATTTTGCGACGGTTCGTTTCTTTTTCCGATTTGAAGCGCAAAAATTACGTATCGCGGTTTTTCCAATTGCGATGTTGTTTTAACAGCCCACGAATGCTTCGTTGTACTTTGAAGCAGAGGAAATTCGTACAGGTCCCACGACCGGAAACACATGCTGAGATATCGTCCACCTTCCAGCGTTCGCAAAAGTGATAATTTATTGACATCGTTTAGCACT